TACACAGTCTAATCAATGCACTTACAATTTTGCTCATCAGACAAGCTTATTGAACCCTTCCTTAAGGGCACTTTGACTACTCAGTAGTCTGTGAAACGAGCCTGTCTTCGGCCAAAGCTGCTAGTACTCTTTATCAGATTTAGCAACTTAATCAGACTTAAGGACTTCATACTCCAGAATGAGGGGCTTCTTTGCCAACCTTTATCATAGACCATTCTTTCCCTTTACCTCCCTCTATGTAGTTCTGTCTTCTGTTCTTAAGACTCAAAAGTCAAGAGAGGTCTTATCCATTACAGAAAACCACAGCTGATCAAAATACAGAGTTGTTGAGCCCAGGACCAACTGATCCATCTACAGCACAACCCTTGAAGATGAGGCTTGGGGATCCATGGTGAAGAAGGGTTGGAAAGATTGTAAGAGCCAGAGGAAGAGGATGTTTTCTATGACTATATATCTCCTAGAAATGTCAGAGAAGCTATACTTATGGAATTTTATCAACATGGCATCCTGAACATGGCCTGAAGAAGGGCAACACCAGTAGACATGGTATTGTGGATAGAGAAAATCTCATGAGGCCTCGAACCTGGATGAAGAACTACAGGCAACTAAGGGATGCTGAGATCTGGAGACAGAGTCCTCCCCAATGAAAAGCATGCAATTGGTCATCCAATTACAACCAACCAACTCTGAACACACACGTATGTGTAACATTCCATAGACTGAGCAGGTTTGATTAATGTATTTAAGATCGTGTGCACACAGGCACGCACCCCATTCATCCCTAGCAATCTCTGGCCCACTTACCGGCCACCAGGCCATGTCACGACCAGCCAGGAAGAAGCCTCCAACAGTGCCTCTGTTGCTTCTCACCATTGCCTGAGGAGGAAGGAAGAAAAGAAGAGGGTTAAAGAGCAGCAGGTGCACCTCAGGCTCCAGCCCCATGGGCCAGGGTGTGAGCAGTAGACACACTCTCCAAGAAGTGCTGCATGGACCAATTTTCAGCAGAGTTCAAGAACCAGGAGGAGTTCAAGACACCATCCTCTCTGAAAAGCAGCTGTTTGCTGTCAACCATGGAAACGATAAGAAATGTGCTGTCATGTGTTGGGTGACAATTTGCAGCACAGAATTCAATACTGAAAACAAATGGAGAGAAGACAAGTGATTTAAGTGGCCAACTCACCAAGTCAGAAACTCAAACAATAAATGGAAATAAAGAAAATGAGATAATATGTTTTTCCCTCTCTTTGCCAGATGCAGGAGATGCAAACAGACTGTATCTCTTATTCCCGGCCCTCCCTCTATTCAAACAACTAAGTGTGTTGTCTTAGAAATGAGCCCACTTGGCACTACTACCAGAAGACGATCCAGACAGAAAGACAACGACGTTAGTAACAACCTATCACCGTCTCAGTTTATCATGACACACCTCTTCCACCCTAAGACACTGTCCCCAAGCCCAGGGCCCACCCGGAAGCTGGTGTGGTTCTCACATACCCACAGCCCCACAGCTAGCACCGCTGCAAAGTAGATGACAATGACAGAGATGTCCGCAGCATTCCGAATGCGCTCTGACAGTACAGGAGGCTCCTCAGTCTGAGGCGCGGTGCTGGGACTCAATGTGGTAGCCATGGCTTCAGGAGGCTCTGCTCCCTTCCTAAGGATGCCCTCTCCTGTCTTTATGTAGGCACTGGATTAATGATCAACCCCCAGGCAAGTGGAGCAAGGTGTCAGGGCAGATCTTGGATGCATGGACCTTAAACCTCTGCTCTGTGTTCAAGCTCTGGGACCTTGACCCTTCGTTCGTCCTGTTCTTGGTAGTGTGTAAGAGTAAGGGATAGACATCAGAAATGGGGTGCAAACTGGAATTGATGTGCAGAGTCTTCACTGATGGGAAAGACAGCACACTCAAGACTGGACAGGTTCAGCTGCAGACTAGGAAGAGAGTAAGGAAGTGAGGGAAAGACACAAAGGGCAGAACAGAGTGAGCATTGGGCAAAGGCTCCTTATAAAACATACAGTGTTCTCTATGGCAAAAAAGTTATCTCTTGAAAATAAGGTTAATTCTCTATTTATTTCAAGGTATCCAACGTACTATATAACTCTGGGACTTTTAATTTGGATGAAATTTATATGATAGTTCAAGACCATGGTGTTGTGGGATTCTGATCAAAGAATGGGATTTCAACGCTCCTTCCAGGAATATTTTTTTATGTACAGTGGCACATTCATTGGTCATGTCCAATGCTCAAAAGAACCAGAGGACTCATAGGCTGTAATAGGGCTTTTTAACTGTGATTTTTGCAACTTTGCCTTTCATACATGATAACTTATAATTTCATTAGTTATTCTTTTACATGTTGACTTATTTTTTTAATTTATTTATTGTATGTATGCCTATGAGTACACAGTCACCATCTTCAAACAAACCAGAAGAGGAAATTGGATCCCATTACAGATGGTTGTGAGCCACCATGTGGTTGCTGGAAATTGAACTCAGGACCTCTGGAAGAGCAGTCAGCGCTCTTAACCACTGAGCCATGTCTCCAGCCCTCATTAGTTACTTTTAAATCCCAGTGTATGATTTAAAAAAAAAAGTCCTGGATGTGGAGAAAGAGAGGGTTATTGGTCAGTCTAGCAAGGTCTCACATAAGCATTTTGGCAGAGACCAAGTCACATGGCAACTGCATTTCCCTTCTTTCAAGGTCTCTGGAAAGTCTTACTAAACAAGGTGGAGGAGGTTTACAGAAAAGATGGAGTCGAGTTTATGGACATTGTTCAATTAGTGTGTCTATTTTCTGGTTTTTCTTTTCCTTTGCTGTTCAAGAAGCCCCACTGGAGTCCTTTCTTCGGTGGTCCAAGAACATCATCCTGACTTGTGGGCTGTTGTTTTCACAGCATCTTCAGATGAGTATTTTGTTTAAACAGGGGCCTCAATAAGGCTGAACACAGACCTCTTGACCCAGGAAACCACATGGGGAAGAATCAAACAAGTCCCTAATGTTAAAAGCATGACACTTTTCAGAATCTTGAATGTTCCACAAGTTGAAAAACAGCCTCCAAATGATCTAGCTGGGCTCTAACCATTCCAAGCCTGAATGGGTTCATCGAAAACTTTTAAAATTTTGTCTATGACTTATTTTATATTCTTTTTTTAATTATTGTGAGCAATTGTGGCTCAAGTTTAATTGATAGATATACAGGCATCAGAAGATGATATTGGTTGTCTGGGTTAATGACACATGTCAAGGAAATAAGAATCCTCTCCTATAAGAGGTCAAGACTTCTATTCATTTTTCAAAACAGAGTTGTTAGACACATGTGTGTATGTGTATGTGTGTGTGTTTGTAGTTGACTATATATATTTAATACCTATGGCTTAATACATTCAAAGCATATATACATAAATCACACATGTATATATACATTCATAGATAAACACACACACACACACACACACAGAGAGAGAGAGAGAGAGAGAGAGAGAGAGAGAGAGAGAGAGAGAGAGAGGATTGTCTCTTCAATGAAACATATAACTTACTTTTCCATCCATGAGGCTGGGAATAGAAGTGGCTAATAGCCTGGTTTTCTTTGCTATTTACACTGCCAGATCATAACAAATTCCCACGAGTAGGACTGGAGATCATTAATGGTCTAGATGACTTTTGCATTATCTGTACAGCCAGGGGCTCCCCCAAGATCCCAAACCAGTACAGAGGTGGCTAAGAGCCCAAGTGACCTCCACTATCAGAGTGACTGAGACCACACCAGATCATCCCATGTGCCCTTAAGGCAATGCATGTAGCCCATCTCTAGAACCCATCTTCATGGAAGAAGTAACATGTACTTTGAGAAGTGGTCATGTTCAGTGTAGTTATGCCTCCTTGTTCAAGGGGGATGGTGTTACATCAGGAAACTTTCCCCCAAAGTTTTACTATACTTAAATACATCTAAAATAAGCTACCCAGGGTCACACTGTAGAAATTTCAACCAACACATTCTACCGAATCATGTTGAACTGGATTTTCTTTTTGGCACATGTGGATCATCACCCTGTTGGCCCTGGCATTTGGAGAGACCCCTACATACATAGATAAATGTATATAAAGTATACATATGACATATAGAAACCCTTCCCTAGCTATAGAAAGGAGTGTGGTGACATCCACCAACTAACAGAGTTAAGGTAGACAACCTGTGAAATCACAAGAGGGGACCGATCGGTAGTGACATACAAAAGTTACACTTCCTAGCCAAAAAAAATATAGAAGCATAGTAAGGGAAACCTTTTTTTTTCCTAGACAAGGTTTCTCTGTGTAGTCCTGGCTGTCCTGGAACTCACTCTGTAGACCAGGCTGACCTCGAACTGAGAAATCCACCTGCCTCTGCCTCCCAAGTGCTGGGATTAAAGGTATGAGCCAATACTACCCAGCTAGGAAAACCTTTTATCACAAGTGCCAACAGCAGGGGGCAATCTCTGACAGTGTCATGGTAAGGGAAGCATCCAGGCAGACAAGGTGATGGAAGAGCTGAAAGTTCTAGATCTTGTTCTGAAGACAGCTAGGAAAAGACTGTTTTTAGGCAGCTTGGAGGAGGCCACAGCAAGAGATGAAGGCAAGAGGAGACAGTGCATTGGAATGGCAGGATTAATAAGAAATAGTTCATGTGGTGATCTGAATAGGCTTGATCCCCATAGATTCATGGGTTTCAATAATTGACCATAGGAACTATTAGGCACTACTAGGAGATATGACCTTCTTGGGGTAGGCGTGGCCTTGTTGGAGGAAGTATGTCACTGTATAGGTAGGCTTTTAGGTCCCATGCTCAACCTCCACTCGCCATACCTAGAGTGGATTCAAAAACCCTTGGATGCCTTTGGATCAAGATGTAGAACTCTCAGCTCCTCCAGCACCTCGTCTGCCTGCATCCTGCCATGCTTCCCTCCATGATGATAATGGACTGAATCTCTGAAACTGTAAGCCAGCCCAGATGAAATGTTTTCCTTTATAAGAGTTGCCTTGGTCATGTGGTCTCTTCACAGCCATGAAACCCTAACTAAGACAGTTTAGGTACTCAATAGGTGGTTGATGCAAGCCGATGCAGTCTGTGTTCCCAGAGTTTCTAGGGAAAGGATGTAGAAGTCTTCCTCATCCACTTTGAGTCCTCAAAGACATCTAATGGGTTGAGTCTTTCTTTAGTGTCATTTGGTGCCTAGCCATCTGTGGTGGTTTGAATATGCTTGGCCCAGAAAGTAGCACTATTAGGAAATGTGGCCTTGTTGGAGGAAGTTTGTCATTGTGGGAATGGGCTTTGAGACCTTCCTCTTAGCTTCCTGACAACAGTCTGCTCCTGACTTCCTTCGGATGAAGACATAGAACTCTCAGCCTCTGTAGCAACATGCCTACCTGGATGCTGCTGTACTTCTTGCCTTGATGATAATGGACTGAACCTCAGAACCTGTAAGCCAGCCCCAATTAAATGTCCTTTATAATACTTTTTGATTGTGGTCTTTCTTCACAGCATTGGAAACCCTAACTAAGACACCATCCCTGAGAAAGACCTAATGTAGCCACAGAAGATTTAAAAGCTCTATTTCATTCTATATTTACTTCTTCCCCAACTGGGACTTGAACCCTTGTCTTTCTTTCATGACTGTCTCACAAACCTAGATGTTAGTCTCTGCTAACAGTGAAAAACATTATATATATTTATGTACTTGTATATGTGTGTATATATAATGTATATGATATATATGTCTGGTATATGAATATGTATTGATTGTATGATGTGTGTATGTTGCTATTGATGTATATAATGTATGTGTGTATATATGTAATATATATGTGTATATGATATAGATGTATGTGATGTATATGTGTATGATGTATATGTATATGATGTATATGTATATGATGTATATGTATATGATGTATATGTATATGATGTATATGTATATGATGTATATGTATATGATGTATATGTATATAATGTATATGTATATGATGTATATGTGTATATGTATATGTGTATATGTATATGATGTATATGTATATGTGTATATGTATATGATGTATATGTATATGTGTATATGTATATGATGTATATGTATATGATGTATATGTGTACATGTATATGATGTATATGTATATGATGTAGATGTATGTGATGTGTATGATGTATATGTATATGTTGGTGGGATTAAACCCAGGGCCTTACATGTACCACGCAAGGGCTCTGCCACTGAACTAGACCCCTAGTCACAATCTGTGTCTTGTCTCATATTTAAGTGGTGATAATGTCTGTATAATCTCCAAGTTGATCACACTAATATTGCTTGGGTCTTACTTGAAGCACTTTCGTGTGCAAGATATGTCCTAAATGAAGACTTGCCTTCTCCTGTCCCTCATACTACTTAGCTGTCACTAGCCTGTGGAGGAGCAACTTTATGTAGAACTGTAGAACACCCTCTGAGAACTGGTCTTCAACAACTTCAGTAGCATTGACCCTTTCTGTAAATCTCCAGGGCCGTGTCCTTGAGCCTGGGCTGTTGTCCTTCTGTTGTCCCTCCAGCCCAGCCCAGGTGACCAGCTGCTGCTGCTCATCCCTCAAGGAATCTGGGTGGACGCTGGTAA